GATCTGAGTATCCAATGGTTCTTGTTCAGATACCAATGTGCAATGAGAAAGAGGTATGGAGAACAAAGTATCAATATCTCTCTTGTTTTCTTGACCTTTTTACATGGTTATGTGCATCAATGTTGTTACTTAAATGTGTGTTTTTGTTCAGGTATATGAGCAATCTATATCTGCTGTGTGCCAGCTTGACTGGCCAAGAGATCGAATGCTGATTCAGGTTCTAGACGATTCAGATGATGGAAGCATTCAACAGTTAATTAGAGCTGAGGTTACTAAATGGAGCCAAAAGGGTATCAATATAATTTACCGGCATCGTTTGGTTAGAACTGGTTACAAAGCTGGTAACCTCAAATCCGCAATGAGCTGTGATTATGTGGAAGCTTACGAGTTTGTGGCAATCTTTGATGCGGATTTCCAACCTAACCCTGATTTCCTTAAACTAACCGTTCCACATTTCAAGGTCTGTATATAAGTAAATTAGTAAATCTGTTTGGTTTGTGTCATTAGAAAGAAAAAATACCATTTTTGGTGAAGCTTCTAACTTGGAAATGCCAATGTTAATTTCAGGAGAAGCCAGAGTTAGGTCTGGTTCAGGCTAGGTGGTCGTTTGTGAACAAAGACGAAAACTTGTTGACCCGTCTCCAAAACATCAATCTGTGTTTTCACTTTGAGGTTGAGCAGCAAGTTAATGGTGTGTTCTTGAATTTCTTTGGTTTCAATGGAACTGCTGGAGTATGGAGAATTAAAGCCCTTGAGGAATCTGGAGGTTGGCTTGAAAGAACAACCGTCGAGGATATGGACATAGCTGTTCGAGCTCATCTCCATGGATGGAAATTCATATATCTAAACGATGTCAAGGTACTATTATAACTCTTGTTCTTGTCACTGTTTTCATAAAGTGATTGACTAAAGTAAAAAACAATCTCTTTAGGTTCTTTGTGAAGTTCCTGAGTCATATGAAGCGTACAAAAAGCAGCAACACCGATGGCACTCGGGACCTATGCAGCTGTTTCGCTTGTGTCTTCGTGCAATCTTGACCTCTAAGGTATATTTGAGCTATGGTTTTGTAATGTAACCTGATTATGTCAAATTGTCAATGTTTTTAATGGTGTTTTTTTCTTGTTGTAGATTGCAATGTGGAAGAAAGCAAATCTGATACTACTATTCTTCCTTCTAAGGAAACTCATACTTCCTTTTTACTCCTTCACATTGTTCTGCGTTATCCTTCCAATCACCATGTTCGTTCCAGAAGCCGAGCTTCCTGTTTGGGTTATCTGCTATGTACCAATATTCATGTCATTACTCAACATCCTTCCTGCTCCAAAGTCCTTCCCTTTCATTGTTCCTTACCTCTTGTTTGAGAACACAATGTCAGTCACCAAGTTCAACGCCATGGTATCTGGATTATTCCAGCTAGGCAGCTCTTACGAGTGGATTGTAACAAAGAAAGCAGGAAGATCATCTGAGTCTGATCTTTTGGGTCTCACTGATAAAGAATCCAAGAAGATGCCACCAAACCAAATCCTAAGAGGAGTTTCAGACAGCGAGCTCTTGGAGATAAGCCAACTTGAGGAGCAAAAGAAACAATCTGTTTCCGTAAAGAAGACCAATAAGATATTCCATAAAGAGCTCGCGCTTGCATTTCTTTTGCTCACTGCAGCACTTAGGAGTCTCTTGGCCTCGCAGGGAGTGCATTTCTACTTCTTGTTGTTCCAAGGTCTCACCTTTCTTCTTGTGGGTCTCGATCTCATAGGCGAGCAGATGAGTTGAGAAATATCGAAAGATTCAAGAGTCAGTTTAAACTCTGCGAGTATCCTTCTCCTATTTCCTTTCTTGGAGCCATAGTTTGTAGGATATTTATTGATTTGTAATTTGGTTATATCTCTCCATTGTAATTAATCCTTAGAAGGTTAAAGTAAGTTTAAGCACATTTATACCTTTATATATAGTATTTAAAAAGTCAGGAACTTCTTGCTTAATGCCTGATAAAAAAAGTAAAGCTTTTGTCTTTAAAGCTCTTCCTCTGTTTTTGTTCTGATTCACATTCATTGCAAGCAATACATACACACCTATCAGTCTCTAAAACTGAAAAAAAATTACACCAGTTTCTGATCTGACAAAACTAAAACAAATAGTGACATAATTTTTTCTAAACTTGAACTCATTTGAGTCCCTGTCCAAAACGTGGGAGAGAGTTGTCGGCAGAAACAGAGGAAACATTAAGAATTTTTAGAGCCAGAGATGTCTGAATCTCAATAATTGCATCAATTCAATGATGTGAAATTTAATGGGACCAAATGAAACTGATCTATAGGCACGTTGTTAATGATTCCAAGATCAAAACTTAGTGATGATGATCTTCTCTGTTCGAAATATAATTTATAAGAAAAACTAACAAAAAACAAATCTGGAAACTAAGAAAAAAAAGTAGTCAGATGTATAGTCTGTGTTTATACAAACTGCTGAATATTTTTGAAATTAACTTCAGACAGCAAGTTTTGATTTTTAACCAACTGATTTTCTAACTTAAAAAAGAGATTCACATAGAAAAGTTAATCTGCATCCACCGAGAAATCCGGCTCATCTGGTTTAGGAAGCATCGGTAACTCAACGTCCTTAATTTTATGCGCCGTCCTCCTCGTGTTCTTAGCAAACCTCGAAGCAAGTATCGTTGCAGCAAAATGCGGTTTCCCAATTTTAGAACTATGATGACGAGTTAAAGCGGTTAGTGTCTCTCCTTCATGACTCGACTCCTCGGTTGCAGCAACCGCTACAGCTTCTTCCTCTTCATAAGAAGAGAATGACTCAGCCAAGCTAAGACTCTTAGCCAACATTCTACTCTTATACCGTCTCCAAGCGACTTGTACGAAACAAGCAGCCCAAGTTCTCCATTGGTGAGAGTAATAACGGAATGTGTGTTGCAGCTTCTTGCTATGTAAACGTCTGAATTGGTTAGCCACAAACTTGAGATCCTCTGCTTGTAAAGCAAAGGCTTCAACTTCTTCTAACGCTCGCACCGTTCTTGTTGAGGATGGTAAGTTTACTTTTGATTTTGGAAGCAATGCCCAAGCAAGAAGCTCTTCACCACAGAATTCACCTGGTCTGAGTGTGATTGAGTTGAAGAAACCGGTTCTGCCTCCATTAGTCGTCGAGCTATCGAGTTTTCCACGGATGATGAAGAGCATTTCCGTCACTGGATCACCTTCACGTACAATGTAGTTCCCTTGTGTGCTTAGAGATGACACTAACCGTTCACATATCGCGTCTAGTAATTGATCATCCATTTGCGCAAATAGTGGCACCTGAATAAACTCATCGCAAGAACTATGTTAAGCCAAAGTTCTTGCAAGAAGAAGCTTGTGAGAAAATGTGTTTGGTATGAGTGGTGAAGAAACTTACACGACGAACAAGGTCGAGACAGAGATGTCGTTGGATGTCTCTACGGAGATCTGCTGGTAATGAATGAAGAATGGTTTCTTCGTCAACTCCTCGAGTCGCTAACCATTTATACTGAACAAAACGCCTCACTCGTTCTCTTAGATTCTGTGGTAGTTGACGATGTCTCATCCATTCTTCTGTGTCTCTTCTCTTCAATCTCCACTCCTCAAGCCTCACCGTGATCGATTGTAAATACGTCTAAAGGATACATTGACCAAAACAAAAATCAACAAAATAACCCTTTTGGATCTTATTAATGATGGTAACAAGAAAGAAGGTTCACATTTTTACCTGCATGTTTCCGATTAAAAGAGCAAACAAAACAAGACCAAAGATCGCCACGAGGATAGCAAACATTGTCTCAAGAACAGAGGTACTTGTTTCAAGATTCTGTCCATAAGAACTTTAACAAGGAAACTATGTTAGAAAACAGAAGCTAAAAACCGTTATAAGCATTAAGAAGAGGTATGAATGGTATATATACCTTAGATTCTGCAATCCAAACCATAAGCAATACAAATATTTCTCCAAGAAAGGCGAAGAAACCACGCTTTTGGTGAGAGCATCCGCAAAAATTCCGAAAGTGAATCGAATATCATTCGAAGGATCACAATTGCTGAACACAACAGTTACATTCTGCCATTTATTCCGATCGTCATGGTTCATTGTACTACAATCAAAGTAATCGGTAACACATTGTATAGGCGCTAATTCCTTATGACATTCTGCTTTCCAACACGTCGCTTGTCTTTCTATTGACAATAAATACCAAGCCGCACCAAGAATCTACAACAACGACAAAAATGTAAAAACATTAGAAGAACTTCAAAGTACTTAGCGTCTACTATATAACTAGCCTATAGGACTAAATGTAGCAGATTTGTTGCTCTTGTGAGTTGGTTTGAGAACACTAAGTGACTCACATGACTAGCAAGCATATACTGAAGGAGATTGTAAGCAGCACCGGCCCAAGCTGTAGTTGTAACGACTCCTGTTGCTTTGATAATCTCAGCGCTTAGAGGGAAAATCAGGTAAAGGCGAGGAATGTATTGAACAAGAACAATGAGAACAAGAGCATTTGTAGTATGATCTGAGTGAGAGCTTCTGATTGATGGCAAGATAAACCAACTGACAATCTGCAATCAAAAGGAGACACCAACTTATTATAAACTCTTAATAAAAATAACAAAGTCTTAAGAGATGAGTCAAAGATTTTGCTGTGTGGGCCATTTGCTTTATCCGTGGTGGGTCTTGCGGGAAACTCTTCAAAAAACAAAGATTTGTGTTGAGTATTTATATTACACCTGAGGAAGAGGCAAACAAGCGATGAGATCAACAATGAAATCTGATCTCAAGTATCTTCTAGCAATCAATTTAGGATCTTTCACGAGTTCTCCACGACCAAACACTCTTGAAGTGCGAGAGACATAAGCTGTTCTGAACTTGATGACAATGTGTAAGACGTAGAAGAGATCCGCGAGTGTTCTGAAGAAAGTCACGACGATTCCAAGGTTCAAATCCGTGGTCATACAAGAGGATCTTCCAGTGTGTTTGACTGAAGATAGGAAGAAGAACAAAGGGTCTACGTAGAGAGCAACGAGACACCAAAAGAGGAAGACTCTGTTCCATTGAAGCACCACGTCACCACCAGGATCTAGAATCTTGTCTCTCTCGATCTCGAAATTCTCGGGGAAGACTTTGAATCCCCCGAATCTTGGGATTTTGAAGAGACGGGTTTTGTTGCTCTTCTTTTGGGTTACTAGCTCTGGTTTCATAAATGGAGCTGCTGATGATTTGAACAATGGCACACGCTTCTCTGTTACTTCTAGGGTTTGCTTCTCGTCTCCATAGAATCTGTGTCAGACAAAAAAAAAACACCATTTTTAATATTGGAGTTTAGAAATGAGATCGAGTAAGAGGATCATGAACAAACCAAAAAAGGAAACTTCAATAAAATCAGAAACAAATCCATGCCAATGTAGAAAATGAGTGCAAAAGAAGGAAAAAGTTCAAAACTTTATTGGGATTGTAAATACAAAATGCCAACTTTTTATGTTCAGAACTCAAATTAACGAAAATCCAAATTCTTTTCCTTTTTTTTTTTTAAAAAGGTTGGTTTTGATGAAAATTCTAGAACCTGACAGTATTGTCTCTTTTGAACTCCATGTTTGTGGTAATAAAGCTTTAAATTGCCAGAAACAAGAACAGTTTCTTCTTCTTCTTCTTCTTGTTATAGGCAAATGAAAGACGAATCAGAGCAGCATGAGATATTGAGCTGACTTCTTCATGTTCAGAAAATGGCAGAGAGAGAAAAAGAGAATAGAGACATGGGCTGTAACCGATTTTATTGAGTTTGACTTCACGTGAAACAACAAAAAAAATGAAGAGTGAGAGAGAAATTAATAAATTGAAACAGCTCATCTTATGCTCTGCTCTAAGCCTACGAGATGTAGAACGAGTGAAAGACTACTACTTGTTTGTTATAAATTAATTTTAAAAAATTCTTGGAAATCGTAAGAGTGAGAGAGAGAAAGAGAAAGAGAACGTGGGTTCCATTAACGCCTAAATCTAATTTTAAGGAGATGAGTCAGATGACTAACAATTCTTGAGAAGACGATTCTCTATAGTAAACTCTCGTTTTGTGTATAAGATCCATGAATCACTCCAACTTAAAACCACTAAAATACAAACATTTGTGTTTTGTAATATGTAATACAAAAAAAAAATCGGCAGAGATGAGATCAATTTTTTCTGACGGTTTTCTGATGTCTATAGATCTTAAGCAACAAGCTATTTTTAAACTATTATTTTTTCTCGATAGTTTTATTAAAATTAGCACCAAAGAATTGATTTGTAAGATAACGCGCTTATAACATGCTTAAAAGATTTGATATTATTGTATTAGTATGATGACAAAAAGGAACAATCGCTTGAGCTTACTGTGTAGACTAATGAATTCTGACTCATATGGTATCAAATTCGGAAGTTCAGGCCGATCAGTTACTTCAAAAACGAGTGAGCTAAGCTATAGTGGCACTTTGTGTCTTGCTTTACGAATTTCATTCTAACATATCAGACTCAGACGAATAGAAAGTTTGTTTGTTTTTTTTTAATTCAAAGTATTTCAATGATAAAATAAAACATTACATTATCCATTTAATTAAATGCTTTTGTAAAGGTGTGCTTGTTCTTATATTTGCACTTTTGTTCTTTTATTATTTCAATAATACCGAAAATGAATTTGTTTATTTAATAAAGAACAAAAAAGATATTACCAATCTCATTAAGAGGCCGAAGAGTAGCGAGTTGGGACGAACGCAAAAAATAATACATAAACTAGGCCAGAGTTTGGCTTTGATTTGTTGCACTCGAAAGGCTTTTTTAGAATCAAGCAGAGCAACATCGAAATCACTAGAATTTAGACTAAAAGATTATCTGCTTCTGCAATATTCAACACATACATGCAAAAGAGTCTCGTTTATGCGGGCCTTTGCAAGACTCAAATCATCAGCGAACCAAAGATTAAACCAAAAGCGGTAAACACTGCAGAAGCACATCGTCTGAACTAGAGTTGGTGCCATTAAGGGAAAACAACTATATAAGGATGAGTCCTAAAACCGAGCATTTAGATAGCACAAAGACATTCTGAGAATGGTCAAAACACTATCATAGAACAAAGACAGGCTGCGAATGGTCAAAACACTATCATAGCACAAAGACATTCTACGAATGGTCAAATTACTATCATATTTTCAAAGAATATATGGAAATTTCTGCAAAGACTGAAAGGTAACAAGTACCTGCCAGAGTAACGAAGTGCAGCTCCGCAGCAACTCTTTAAGTTCAAGAAAAGAAAAGGCAGAGGAGTTTTGAAGAAGGCAACATCAGAGCTGATGAAGTTTTCAAACATAAGAGCAAGCAGAAGCAGAAGCAAGTAGTGCAGAGTAGAGTAGCAGAGTAGATAAGCAGAGATAAGCAATGAAGCAGTAGACGATGCCATTGCAGGTCAATCAATAAACGAAGAAGCCTCAGGGCAGAGTAGAGAAGCAGAGATAAGCAATGAAGCAGTAGAAACGCAGTAGAAACCCGAAGAAACCTCGACAACCATAAAACAAACCACAATGAAAAACATAGAAATCCATAGTTTTTTTAGCAGACTTTATGTTTAGGTCTTTTAAGAACTTGGGTAGGAAATTTTAAAAGTACGTTACCTAACGGCAGATACAACTACGGCTTCAAATCCAAACGCAAAAAAGAAGCATCCCAGCAATTCAAAAGTAGCAAGCATATCCAATCCATCCCATAGCTAAAACATGTTCTCTTAGTGAAATTCACAGATACTAATTTCTCCATAAGCTGTCTTCTTGACGTCACAAGCAAACAGTCGCTTCTCGATCCCATAACTTGCTATCTAGATCAGCTCCGGCTTCTGCGCACATCTTTCAGGCCATTTCTGCATAACCAAAATAGAAAATCATATTAGCCCACATGGACTACGTATGTAACACAACACCTAACAAAAAAGATCTATATATGCAGGTCAAGATAATGCCACTATATCTTGTTTCAATAAAAGTAACTTTGCCATCAATTCATTTTCAACGTCTTATATTGATTGAGATATCATACACTCTTGAGTAAAGGACTTGAGCAAAATGGACTTTACCCGTTAGCATATGGCACCTCCTCACGTCCTCTATAAGGTGGTGGTGACCTACTGTAGTTGCGACCACGAGGAGAAGGGCTGCGACGCCTTGGAGGAGGAGGAGATCTTGCTCGAGGGCTGTAACTCCTGAAACCAAAAGACAAGTTACTCGACCAGAAGCTAAACAGATTGATTTAAGTTAAAAGAATCGCAAAATCAGAAAGAAAGAGGGACAATAATAACCTGCGTCCTCCATAGGTTGGGCTCTTTCTGTATCTTGGACTGCGACTACGGCTGCGACCACGAGGAGAAGGACTGCGACGCCTCCCCGAGCCACCACGAGAGCGGCATTCACGTGCAAAGTGACCAGACTCGCCACACTCATAGCACTTCAGATCAGAACCACCACGGCCACGACCACCATCACCTCCTCCACGACCACCACCACCTCCTCCACGGCCTCCACCACCACCTCGGTTATGAGACTGCTCTACCCTCCATCCATTCTTGCCTACCATAACATTACAAAGCATGTGTATATCAAAACTCTTAAACCACATAACAACACACAGAATTAGACAAGCTGCACCATAATAACTCGAAAGATCCCTCTTGCTATGTAGTTAGAAAGCAGAACTGAGACAACAGAGAGAACGAATACCATCTAAATCACGGATGGCGTCGCGAGCATCCCTTGAGTCTTCGAAATCAAGAAAAGCGTAACCAGGTGGTCTTCTTGCAACCCAAACACTACACCAAACGATAAACGATGAGATAAATAAAATGCAAACACACAACTTTACATATAAACAAACCCTAGAACGGTTTTATTTGAAAGGAATCAAATTGTTTACCTCCTGATCACTCCATAGACACGAAACTCATCCTCGAGTTCACGCTCAGTAACTCGCGGATCCAAATTACCAACGTACACACGCGACATCGCTCAACTACCTGTTCCAATCAAAGTAACGCCTAATCAATTCTTTTTATTCTTCCAGCGAAATGAATCCAAAAACTTTTGAGGATTAAACCAAAGATTATAAACTTCTTCAATTCAAAAACTTTTGAAGCCAAGAACAAGCAAAATCAATTTCTCGATCCAATTCAGATTCAACCGATGAGAGATCAGAGACACATCACAGATCACATGAATTCAGGAACTAAAGAAAAAGTAGCGAAAACGGAAATCGGAATCACCTGAAGAAGAAGTGAGAAAGAGCGAAAACCCAGAGAAAACGGCTTCTCCCTCCTCGGTCGTGAAACTAGGGTTATCGATTTCGAGAGTAAAGTTCTCAAGCACAAGGGTCAACTTTAAAGTTCTTAAAAGTCATTCCTAATTTTGGGCCTAAAATGGGCTTTCGATGTTTTTTAAAAGAGTAAAGCCCAGTATATCACTCGCCCACGCAAAAAAAAAACTGCGTATGATTGTTTGGGATCGTTGCGTATAATTTGGGAAAATTGGCCTTTTCAGACTTGAAGTATTCAGAAATGTTAATTTCATACCTTAATTTGTATACAGTGCTAAAACATATGCCAAGATCATAATATTTCAAATTTCATACGTGAACTTTATTTTTTGTGCTAAAACTTACGTCTAGTCTAACGCTGTTAACCATCTGTCAAATCTTATCTACGTGGCTACCAGCTAAGCAACGACATCATCCAGGTTTTTTAATTCTACTTTGTTTTATCTCACAAAACGATTTTTGCTGTGTTGATTAAACCACACCGTTTTGTACTATATTTTTGTTGTCCTCTCAAGCTACGACTCTAACACAGAGAAAAAAAACATTTATTACCGATATTGGAGTGTCACGAATTCGGAAGAAAACGAAAATCTAAAATCTTTTAATGGCAAAACATGATTAGGTGGATACAGTGGTAGACGAGGTGCTTTTGTTCGTAATCCGCCAAACGAATGAGATCGTAAGACGGTATTAAACCATTTTGGCCTTTCTGTATTTCTTTAACTCTCTCATGGATCCCTAACAGTGAGTAACTCATAATCTTCTCGCTCTCTCTTTTCGTCTTTTCAATTACGACAAAAGAGTTTTTGATTTTCGTAGTGTTTGAGTTTTACTCTTTTTAATTTCACGAAAATTCAACGGAAGATCTACTTTCTGGTAGAAATTCCAGAGAAGATCTTGATAGGCTTCTTTAAGACTGTATCTCAACTTTCAAGCAAGAGGCTTGCTACCGAGATGGCTTCAGATTCCTTAAGATCTGGTTTCTCTACGTAATAACCCCTATCACTTATCATACTCTCTCCAGGTTCTTTGAGCTTTAATGGGCTCCCGTTTCTCAAATTATAGAGAAGTTGAAGAGAACAAGATATCAGATATGCATAGGCATTCGTTGCTCTATGAGTGGTATGCAATTTTTCTGGAGGTCAAACGATTATGGCGACAAACAAATTTGGTTTATTAGATTCAAAGAATGGTATGCCATTTTTCACGAACTCAGAAGAAAACAAAAATTGAAGACAAAAACAAAGACGATTTGGGAATTTCGAAATCCAGGGTTGAGTGATTTTAGATTTTCATTTTCGAGTTGGGTCTCCAATTTACGGTAACAGATTTTCATTGGTTGAAACTTGAAAGGTTGAAGGAAAGAGAAAGACAACAAAAATATAAAACGGTGTAGTTTATTGTTTTGTAAGATAAAATAAAGTAGAATTAAAAAAACTCTAGAAGACATCGTTGCTGAGGTGGCAGCCACGTATACACTATTTGACGGATTCTTAACACTGTTTAGTCTAATGCAGGTTTTAACGCAAAAAAACAAAATTCAGGTATAAAATTTAAAATATTATGAACTTCACGTATGTTTTAGTACCATGTATAAATTTAGGTATAAAATTAACATTTTTGAATACTTTAAGTCTAAAAAAGCCAACTTTCCGTATAATTTGTGTTGTGCATCACTTTTATAATATCTTCTTATCTTATCTTATACTCCACAAGAAAGTTTACAAAAATCTGGGTTTAGAGGATAAAAATTGAAGCTATAGGCTTCTCAAGGCATCCACATAGGATTTTAAAGATTAATTTTATTGGTTCACATCAGCATTCAAAATTAAAGAAAATTTTTAAATTCTAATATTATTATTGAAAAAGAAAATTAAGAAAGTTTACAAATTCTAATTTTATTGCTGAATAAAAAAATCTGTAATAAATTTTTTATTGATCTACCTCAACATTGGAAAAGGTTTCTAAATTTTATTATTTTTTTTAAAAAATGAATAAAGATCTATATACTTATTTGTGTAGTGATTTGCTTACGTGTCGCGTTCACAGCGAATTTCACCGTCTTTTGCTTACGTGTCAGCTCCAGAATCAGTTTCGGCCGCAAAAAGACTGTTTAGCCCTATTTTCAAATTACATGTTATTATTTGATTGGTTCTTATCTGATGACGTGTAAAAAAAAAACTAATAAACCGGTTTAAATTATTATGGTTAAATACTTAATTTTATACTCAATCAAACCGTTTTTAAAATTAGATAAAACCAAAATTTAGAAAAAAAAACCCAAAAACGTTTTTATAAAAAAATTAGAAATTTACTATTTCCAATGTCTTCGAATAAATAAAAAATCTAACTAAAATTTTAACAACAATCTAGACATCGATTTCTTATGGTTTAATATATATATAAGCCAATTTTCACTACTTCTCTCACAACTTTCAAAATTGTATAAAATCAAAATTATACATTATAACTAATAATTATATAAAACCTTTCCTTAAATTCTAACTAAAAATTATATAAAACCAAATTTTAGAAAAATTTAACAAAATTTTTGTTTTTTTTAAAACACAAAAAACGTTTAAAAAAACAAAAAAGGAATCTATATCTCTTAGTATTTACTATTTTTCTGTTTCTAAAATTTAGAAAAAATTTAACAAAAATGTTAAAAGAAACAAAAAATGGAATCTATTTAAAAAGTAAAGGAATGTTGTTTCAAAAAAAAACAAAATTTAACAAAAAATCTAACAAAAAGTTTTTTAAAAAAGATAATATATATCTAATTAATGGAATATTGTTTAAAAAAATCATTAATATGGTTAAATGCTTAATTCTGTAGTCAAATTATATAAAACCGAAATTTTGATATAAAAATAAAAATACCATTTTTCTAAAAAAAAATTATATCTCTTAGTGTTTACCATTTTTTATGTTTTCAAAATTTTTAAAAAATCTAACAAAAATGGAATCTATTTAAAAAGCCATAGAATGTCGTTTTGAAATTATATAAATCCGAAATTTAAAAAAATTAAAAAAACGTTTTACAGCGAGTTTTACAGCTTTTCGCTTACGTGTCTGTTCCAAAATGAATTTAGGCTATAAACAGACCGTTTAGCCCTATTTTACAATTACGTGATCTATTTAAAAAGCTATAGAATGTCGTTTTGAAATTATATAAAACTGAAATTTTTAGAAAAAAATAAAAAAAAAACGTTTTACAGCAAGTTTCACAGCTTTTCGCTTACGTGTCAGCTCCAAAATGAATTTTGGCTATAAACAGACAGTTTAACCATATTTTGCAATTACATGTTATTTTATTATTATTTCTTATCTGATGATGTGTAAAAAAAAACTTAAAACAGACCAGTTTAAATATGGTTTAATATTTAATTTTATAGTCAATCAAATCGTTTTTAAAATTATATATAACAAAATTTTTTAAAAAAATAACAAATTTTTTTTTAAAAGTAAAAAAGAAAATATATATCTCTTAGTGTTTACTATTTCTTATATTTCTAAAATTTAGAAAAAACTAACAAAAATATTAAAAGAAACCAAAAATGAAAACTATTTAAAAAGTAATAGAATGTCGTTTCAAAAAAAGAAAAAAATATATATTTTATAATGGAATTACAGTATTTGTGATGTTTAAAACACATAAAACAATTATCAAAATCGAATAAGTTCATACGGTACTTTAAAAATTATGTCAGTGATAAAAAAATCCAACTATTTAAACTAATTATTTGGATACTACTATGTTTTTATTTACTTTTTTCTATTTTATACTGTTTTCACGATCATGTCTTCCAACATTAAAGTTCAAAGAAATCTAATACACAAATATACTCAAGAATAAAAAAAAACAAATGAATCCAAACTACAATTACATTTTCTAACAATCAAATAGAAATTATATCAGTCCGCGCCTTGCGCGGGAAAATTAACTAGTGAATATATTATTTTTTTTTGTCAACAGATGAATAAATTATATACAAAATTTATATTAATAATAAAAACTAAAATAAATAATTTTAAAATAGGAAATTTTAAATTTAAATTAGATTGTTCAATTATATAAATTAATAAGAAAAATAAAATATTAAAATTTATTTACATATGTATACACATATATTTAGAGACTCCTACATTAGCGTTCAAATTTTTGTTACATAAATATAATAAATTGTAAGTTATTTTTTTATGTGTGTACAACCATTTCAATTAAAAAAAGCAAAAAACAGAGTTAGATTCACTAAAGAATAAATCATTACAACGTAAAATTAAGAACCAACTTGACTAAATTATATGTTTAACTATGTTTAACTATTAGCTAAATTAAAAAGAATATGATGAAAAAAGATATAAACAAAGCCACTAGAAAGCCGCTTTAATATTAAAAAAGAGACCGTAAAATCTCTAAAACTTGGCCACCGAATTTCAGAAGAATGATAAATTTCAAGTAATCCGAGAAACATGTCAAGTGATTGATATCTGAAAATTTTTAAAAACGAAGCACTAAAAATAGATATAGAGGTTCCGGCATTAAGGCAAAAGAAACTGAGGTATCCAAGGAATTAGAATAACATGGCATCTAACAAGGTTTTAGCAATCCAACCCAACCTGAACCACAAATGTAACAATTAGCTGAACCAAACAGCATCAGATACATTCAGTAAGCCTCAAAACATGGAGGAAATACCAAAATCACTTGCCGCAATGGGCTTCGTATGGGATCTTCCAGCGTTAATATCTAAATATATTACAAATAAAGACTGAAGCTATATGCCTCTAAGAGTGTCCAAATATGATTTTTTTTTTAATTCTATTGGTTCACATCAATATTTAAAATTAAGAAAAATTTCAAATTTTAAATCTGTATTGTTAACAAAAAAAATATTTATTAAAAATAAAAGTTGAAGCTATATGCCTCTAAGGTTATCCACATAAGATTTAAAAGGTCAATGTTTTTAGTCCACATCAATAACTAAAATTAAAAAAAAATTCTAAATTTTAAAATTACATTGATAATACAAAAAAATATAGGAAATTTGTTAATTTAAACTATTCTATTATTTATAACAGTTTAGCCATATTATTTTTAAGGCATCCACATCAACATTTAAAAATTTTTAAAAAGTTTCCAAAGTTTAATATTATGGTAAAAAAAAAATATCCATTAACAACAAAAATAAACCAACATGATATTAAAATATCCATTATCACTGATTTAAGTACAAATTTAATTTTTTATAAAAAAAATATATGCTACTTATACAAATTTAAGTTACTTGATTTAAAAGTTTTTCAAGTAGAATTTTAAATAAATAATATTTATGATTTATATACATCTAAATTTCTGTCACATATATAAAATATATTTCCACATAATCTTATATAATATATTATGCAAAAATGATTGAAAAAAATACATTCGTATATTTGACTTGGAATTGCAAGAAATTAATGAAAAATTTCTTAGTTTTGAGTTATCGAGTTTGTTATTCATTTTTCTAAATTTGTATTTATTAAATTGTACCGATTTTGCCTACTTAATTATAATTAGAAGAAGTGACAATGAATATGATGAAACTGAATATAATCATAAAACAAATCATTAAAATAATTAAAATGATATATTTATTGAAAAAACAGATATAACAAGAATAAAAATGAACATGATGAAATTGTTTTTTTTTTATTCTTATTAGAAGAGATGAGGTATAATTATTGAAAAATTATTCAAAGGTTAACACAAACAATCGACAAAAATATATTTAATTCACAAATCTTGTGTGATTTTAATCATTTCATATTCAACTATTTTTGGTTTCAAATTTAAAGTTGTTATTAATCTCAATGCAAAAGTTTTATTTATTAATTTGTTTTTTGATTAATAGATCAAAAAATTGTAATTGTTAAACAAGAGAAAAAAAATATTAAATATTAAATTTAGTTATTTTTTTATTTTTTTTAAATCACATATATAATTGGAATGAAACTGAAAATGATGAAAAAATTATCTTCTTGATTTGAAGGAGTGAATGTATAATATTTTATCGTCATGTCAATACTATGTTTAAAAAGTAGAATTTAATTATTTTGTAAAAATTTTAGTCGGTTTGAATATATTAACTTATAAGTGTTTCACCAAATAATACATTTTTGAAAAGAGACATATTATATATATACATTAAAAAAAACTGTTAAAACCTCACAATTTACATAAAAATTATTAGATTAACACCATAAAATTTTTAATATATTATTAAAATCTTAATATATAAAATTTATATCTTAATAAATATAATTAATTGCATATCGTTTTATCAATAAAATACCCACGCGTAGCGTGGACGCAAAATCTAGTACTAATAATAAAAATTGAAGCTAAATGTTTCTCAGGGTGTCCACATAGGATTTTAAAAGACAATTTTATTGGTCCACATCAACATTCAAAATCAAGAAAGTTTACAAAACAATATAAGAAAAATTGTTAATTAAAATTATTTTATTATCAATAACAGTTAAAGCTATATTATTTTTAAGGAATCCACATCAGCATTTAAAATTTCAGTTCTATTCGTATATATCAAAATATTAAATTAATTTTTTTTCCTAATTCTAATATTATGATAAAAAAATAAATTAAAAATAAAAATCTATTAACAACAAAAAAAACCAACACGCTATTAAAATTTCCATTATAACTGTTTAATTTACACATTTAATTTATTATTTATAACAAAAATATATGCTACTTATACAAGTTTAAGTTACTTTATTTTAAGGTTTTTCACGTAGAATTTTAAATAACTAATAATTATGATTTATATTCATCTAATTTTTTTCACATATGCAAAACATATTTCTACATTATCTCATGTAATATTATGTGAAAATGATCAAAAAATTACATTTGTATATTCGACTTGAAATTACAATAGATTAATGTAGACGTTCTTAGTTCTAAGTTTTCTAATTGTTATTTCATTTTTCAAAATTTTTATGTATTAAAATGTACAGGTTTTGCCTACCTAATTATGATTAGAAGAAATCAGAATTAATATGATGAAACTGAATATAATCATACAAAAATTATTAAAATAAATAAATATGATATATTCATTGAAAACACAGATATAACAAGAATAAAAATGATAATGATGAAAAACAATTTCATTCTTATTAGAACAGATGACGTATAATCATTGAAAAGTTATTTAAAAATCTTACACAATCAATTGACAAAAATATATTTAATTCAAAAAATTTTGTGTGATTTTATTCATTTTATATTCAACTATGTTTTTGGTTTTAAATTTAAAGTTGTTATTAATCTCATAGCAAATATTTTATTTATTAGTTTGTTTTTTAAATTAATATATCAAACGAAAAATCTGTATTGGTTAAACAAAGGAAGAAAAAATTAAATTTTAAAATTTTAATGTTTTTTTATTATTTTTAAAGAACACATATATAATTGGAATAAGAGTGAAAATAATGAAAAAAATATCTTCATGATTTAAAGAAGTGAATATATAATATTTTACAATCATGTCAATACTTTGTTTAAAAAGTAGCATTTGATTAATTTGTAAAATTTTTAGTTGGTTTGGGTATATTAAATTATAAATATTTGACCAATTAATATATTTTTGAAACTTTGTGGGTTATTTCAAAAACTACTTAATGTAATCGTCTATGTGATAAACCAGTATTCGAAATAATAATTATTAATTAATCTTTCTAAATTACCTTTAATTTCGAGAACAACTGCTTCTCCAAGTGTTAACCGTTTTTTTTTAAATTCTAAAAAAAACCGCAAAAAAACTTCCTTTATTACCCTTCATAACTTCACGTCTGCCATTTATCACTTTTTCTTCTCTCAGACCACGAACTTATTTTGCAACTGTCATTTCTCTTTCTCTCCACTGTTCTCTTTCATATTCCCAGACGCCTGGCTTTACCCTAAAAAGTTTCCGGGCATCTTCGCTCTTTCCTCCACTCGGAACCGCCATCCGCCGCACCGATTCACGACTACCCAGCCGCCGTATCCCACCCTCCCACGATATCTTCTTCTGGTAACTTTATATTTTTACAGTTTACTATGTTTTCGGTTTCTGTAGATCCCGCATCGCCGCCGCCGTCGTTCGCACCAGTTATTATTGGATTTTTGAAGAAATCAATTTCTAGCTTATGGTCTATTAGTATATAATTACCCTAGTAGTCGTATATCTGTGTTGTCTACTAATCGTAATTAGAGGCTTAATTGTTGTCGCCTATGCTCGAATGTTAGATCTATGTTGTTTGCTTAGTAGTTTTGTTTCGCTCGCCTCTAGATTCATGAAAATAAATCTACTTTTTCCTGGGCAAAGTATGGAATTTATATGTTCTGTATTTTCGTAGTGAAAAGTTCTCGTTCATTATCACAGAATTACTATATAACACGCGCTTCTTTTTGTTTGCGAAATTAAACAGTACTACAACCTTGGAGTCCATGCCATACACTAATTCGTATACTCGATTATAGTAGTCGATTAAGTCACCTAGTAACTGATTACTAATAGTTGTGTACTTACATATACAGATATCATTTTCTTATGGTAGTTGATTATTTATAGTCATTTACGTTTCAGTGTCCACCAGTTAAGCTATGAGCCGGTTTCCGGAAAGACTGTTTGCATTAGGCAACGAACCGGAGAATAAGAAGGTCAACACCTACTTCCAGCTACCTTATCTTGACACGATAAGTTTAGCTTTGGAAGAAGACCATATGGAGAAGCTGTCTTTCTCCCAATTTGGTAAACTCATCGAAGCAGGCAACAAGATTGCATCATCGGTTAGATTCCTTCACTTCATTTTGTCAAGGCAGCTGGTTACAAAGAAGAAGAAAGAGGTTTGGTGTCTCTTCGCTGGTCAGCCAATTCGGTTTTCTCTTAGGGAGTTCGCTATGACGACAGGTTTAGATTGCTCCAAATTGCCTCCGCCGCCGAAGCTGAAAGAAGACAAGGTCAGTGAGTATACCATTGAATTATTTGGCTCTGAGAAGAATGAAACCCCTGGATGGATAGCGACAACTCTTGCTGGCCGACCATACAAAGATAAAGACACCCGATTTAAGTTGGCGTGCTTACTCCTCATCGATGGTATTGTATGTCCCACTTCTAGAAACGCTAAGATAAGTGCCGAGCACATCATGATGGTAAAAGATGTTGACCAATTTCTGGAATATCCTTGGGGTCGCAAATCTTTTGATCTGACCATTAACAGCATCAAAACTAGGACAGCTACCACATCGTACCCTTGTCAGCCAACATGTGCTTTTCAGGGTTTTCTACATACACTACAGATGGTCGTTTTGGAGTGTGCGCCTTCTATACTGAAAAAGGATTTAAAAGCTAAATCCAGCAAGCCTTCTTTGACGGATGAAGAGGATGAAGAAGATGAATCCCCAAGTTTAAGTCATGGTGCTATGAAACCTGTTAACATCTCTATGCCTCATGTGAAGTTTCTCGACAATAACCAAAAGGTATGTCAAATAAACGATAGTTGACTACTGTTAGACAGTTATCAGTACATTGTTATCTTGTTCACCCATTACAAATTCTGATCGGAACCGGAAAAATGTATACAGTAGTTGTCTAATAGTCAGTTTTTTGTAGTCAGATTCACATTAGTTGTCTACTGAAACTATTTTACCATATCCAGGTTGCTGTCAAGGCAATCTTACCGGACGATGAACATTTACTGGATGACACCGACCTGGAGTTTGATGATGATGTCCCAGACGAAAGCGTTGACAACTTAGTGGCAGCAATCAATGACGGTCAAAAGTTTTCAAGGAAGACATGGAATGGCGGTGAAAAAGAACACTTTCATATAAAGCATACCAAGACACCAGCGTCATCTTCCCAGAATACATCTTCCGATGTGCATTTAGATACGGCTGCTTCTTCCATTCTTGATAAGGTCGAAAGTGCTAATGCAGTGGTCTTAACGGAGATAAAAAGCCTTCGTGCAGATTTTGTTGATCTCCGGACCGAGGTATTTGTCCACTTTTAAGGAATATATTGCGAGCTTAAAAGGCGCTTCATCCCAAGTCCGAGCACCTTCTAAGGGAAAGCCTGCTCGTAGGGTCAAATCCAGTAAGAAGAAAGTGAAGCACGTTAGATTTCAGCAAATATCTTCCTGTGAGGAATCCAAGTCTTCCTCTGATCACGCTACCAAGACGAAGGAGTCAAGCCGTACTTCTGCTGAACCTAACGACGGAGCTGATAGTACTGTCGGTGATGGTATTGAAGATAAAGATGGTGATGACCAAGAAGATAGAACGGGAGATGATGTTGGTGTGGACGTTTCTAACGAAATGCAGGTCGATGTTGATGATGTCGAAGACGATGCAACTATCGCGACTAACCAAATAGCGTTTGTTCTTTCAGATTTATCATCAACTGGACAGGTACGTAGGCAACTACTAGTATGCATCTACGTACACTGCACTTACTCCCTACTTACAATTTCTCTCCTTAATATAGGTCAATGTAGACGCTTCAGGAATTCAGCTTATTTTGTCCCCACCTGTAAAAGTACGTAGACAACTATTAGTATGCATCTACGTAAGTTGTAATTACTTTAACTGCCTATCGTTTATGTAGGTCAATGTAGACAGTTCAGAAACTCATCCTATTTTGTCCCCACCCGCACAGGTAAGTAGACAACTATTAGTAAGTATATACTCAAATAAGTTATCTCGTTAATTTATTAGGTTATTGTAGGCCAATTTAGACCCTCCAGAAAGTCATCCAAAGGTTTCTGAGTACGATTCCGACATTGCTAGCACACGTCAAATGGAAGACGATGGGGTTACACACGTCAACACAAGTGACCCACCATACGATCAGGTTGGTATAACTAGTTGACTACTATTTATAAAATAGTTAATAACCTCGTCTGTTTTGTTTTCACTACCTTTGTAGGAGAAGCTGGCAGAGCAGACCCAGACCTTCGAGGATAACTCCCTTCACGTGCCTTTTATTTCTGGACTCCCACCACAACGACCGGTTAGTGTGAGTAGATGTTTTTACCATTGTTTATCGGTTATAAGTAAGTTCATCTCTGTTATCAATTATCTGCCACCGGAAGTCTCAGGTATTACAAGACAAGGACCAAACCGATGTCAACGAGTTTTCGTCTATCGTTTCTGGACTCCCACATAAAGATCTGGTTAGTGTACAATAGATGACTATCTATTATTATATCTTTTATATATTGTCTTTGACTATGCGTCTAACTTAGTCGACTATTTATGCTTTGATACTTAGGTTTTAGAAGCTAACGAACAAACTGTGGCCGACAAAGATGTCCCTCCAGAACCGCAGGTTCATAAAATAGTCGATTACTTTCTATATTTGTATTAGGCTATGCGTCTAACTTAGTCGATTATCTATTCTATTGTACTTAGGTTTTAGATGCGAACGACCAATCCGGTGCCGATAAAGATGTCCCTCTTGGGGTTCACGATCCGCAGGTTCATAAAGTAGTCGATTACGTTCTCTATATAGACGTATAAAACGTAGTGTGTTACATAAATAATCGACTACTTTTTTATTGTTTACTAATGTTACCTAGGTCATGCTGGAGACCCAGAACACTATTCTTGAACCTACAAATCCTGAGGCAGAGATCGAAATTCCAGCAGGGGTTGAGCCTCCTGGTTGGTCACTTGGTCTTACACAGGAAGAAAAAAACATGGCCCAACCATCTAAAAAGGGAGCAGAAGGACAAGGAGCTATTCGCAAGAGTAAACGACTACCCGTGCCTTCATCACAGATGACCGATTTTATATTCCCCCGACAAAAACGTGTTAAGAAGAATGAGAAATCGGTTGAGCTGTCGCACTTCTTTCCAACACCGAACTTTGAACAAGTCATCCTCCTGCAGAGTAGAATGAAAGACAGTCGGTGAGTATAATCTTTAGTTGTTGTTGATCGGTTTTTGACGGCAGATGACATTACCTTTTGTTTATTGGATTCTGTAGGCATTTGCCTAGCTGGGATGGAATTGTCCTATCAGTGAACATTTTGAAAGAGATCGTCGATTTGAAATACCCAATTTCCGTCATGGTAAGTCATTTAAATAGTCGACTACTTATTCATAATAAATAGCTGACTACTTATGTTTGATTTTTCCCTCTTTTTATTGTAGACTATCGACAGCGTTCTTAGGTTATTCCGTCACCAATTGGCCGAATTAAACGACGATCAGTGCACTTATGATTACGTTGAGTACACCTTCATTCACGGCATTGTTGAACTCCTTCCACAATTAACAAATCCCCCGAAAAGAAAACCTCTCTCACTCCCTACTGGTTCAGCCGCATACGTCAAATCCAGGCGCTCATGGTACACTCAGGTTGCTCACATTTATTGTCCTTACCAAGTTGATGACCGATACTGGGTGGGTCTATGCATCGATTTCGAAAGCCACAAGGTTATGGTATTGAATGCGTATGCGACTCTCAAAGAGATAAAACTTAAAACAAGTGTTGCACCGCTAGCACAGACTCTACCACATTTTATCAGGAGAGTGGCCTACAATTCCGAGATGAAAGCCGACGATCTAACGCCGTTCACAATTAAAATTGTGAAACCAATGTTCCAGACATCGGCATCTGGTATGTGCTACTTTATCAAAAGGTCAGATACTTAGTATGTCATTACATGTAGTTAACTATATATTTTGTTTTGTGTCCGCAAGGCCATCTCGGTGTGCTGGCACTCATGTCTCTTCAGTTGCACGCTGCCAATATGCCTCTAGACACTGTTGTGGGTGATGATGTTCTTCGTGATGCATCTCTTAAGTTTGCGTATGATCTCCTATGTTTGATCGAGCCGCCTTCTCTAGCCGACGTCGTCATTCCCAAGACCCTCCAACTTGATCCTCACCATATTTCCTAGAGAACCCTATTTTCTAGTTGTTTTATGAACTTATCATCTGTCAAACATCGCATTTCGCTTTAGGTACTTATAGTTTTAGCATTTTATTATGTTTGTGTGTGTTATAAACTTCGTCATTAATAACTACTACTAGTCATCTGTTTTTTACAAATACATATCCTTACAAACTAGTATATGTCTACAAGTAGCTGATTATCACATAAAGTCTCACAAATGTAAATCCAAACTGCATAATTATTAATTTAAGTTAAGGGAAATATTGGTACTATTTCTTGGGAATTGATAATTAACTACAAGTAGATGACTATCACGGGGAGCTAGTAACTCAAGTTAATCCCAATGAACCAACAATGACAATATTAAAGAACATATTTTACCATAGTCTCGAATTCAGAAATAACAAAATAAGTAGGAGAGAAAAGTATCTGAGGCCTTACAAAAAAATTTCCAATAGTGATCCCTTTCCAATATCCAAATTACATATTATAGGATGCATAATACCAAAAAAGCTTCAAATAAGCACGAGATAAGAACCGACATAAAATGTTGACCCTTAAATTGCCTTGAAGTGCATCATATCCGATTTCTCCCTGCCTCATTCCTACATAACCCCTGCGACTTGACTTACCTTTCATGCACCGGAAGTTTGCATGAAGCTCTGTTGTGACCCTTTCCAAGACACCTGCTGCAAATCCTCGTCGTCTTCCTCGAACGCCTCTGTTTAAGTGATAAAACGATTGTAAACAATTAAGCAAACGGTTTAGTACAGAAGACACGTAAATGACTATGCGGTAGACACATACTAACATAATTAATTACTACCTTCAGCTCTCCCCGGGATGGGATCCTTGTTTTCCTTGGTCTGCCTGGGGGTCGGCGCATCAGTGGTGGAAGTAGTTCTGTCCCACCAGAACTTACAGGCGTTGGTACTTGGTGGAAAGCTCCTTCATAAAGGGATCTCGTGTACCTTGTTGTGTACACCTCCCCCACAAGCTTATCGAGCTCAATCTTGCTGCACGAAGAAGCTGCCATTGCATGACGGCATGGTATGAGAAGCATTTGAAACTCCCTGCAGCTGCAAGTCTTTAAAACAAGGTTCACTTCGAACCTTTCCCCCTGTCTGTCGTAAACTTCATACTCATCATCTCCGACCACAACAACCTAAATATCAACATAGTCCATTACAAGTAGCCAAATACAACAAATAAATAGACATATTAACTGATAACCGATAGTTTGTAGTCGACTACTATTTTACCTTTAACTCGGTGCAACTATGGAAGTTTTCGTCCATCAGGTCACGTACTTTCGGATTGATAGCATGTTGCTGTGCCGCTGAAGCAGCTTTCCTCCTTACAAACCAGCTGATAAGACTCATCCTGATGGCCTCAAGCATCGAGATTAGTGGAAATTCCCTACACTCTTTCAAGACCTTGTTGAGAGACTCCGCAACGTTCGTAGTCATAACGTTGTATCGTTCGCCGTTGCAGTATGCCCGCGTCCAGCGTGGCAGTCCTAAATCCAATAAGTACTTCGCACAGCTAGGACTTATGTTTTGTAGATCTGCAAATATCTGATGGAACTCATTCACAGTATACGCTTTAGCAGCTGATACCATCAGACCAGGCAGCCGGCTTTCTTTAAACCGTGCGGTGATGTTCCTTGCTAGGTGAACAAGACACGCCCCATGGCCGGCAGCAGGGAACACCTAAAATCAAAGAAAGACAGGTAATGTTTAGTAGTCCACTATATATAAACAATTATCGGTTACTTGTAATCATAGAGTAGCTATCTAGTTCTAACCTTGTTGAGACCAGAGTAGATGCTCCCGTGTCTGTCTGAAACAAACATAATATCACGGTCATTGGAAATTATAGTTTTCAAGCAATTGAAAAACCATTCATAAGATGCATCGTTCTCGCTGTCCACAACTGCATATGCAATTGGGTAGATCTGAAAGTTCCCATCTTGAGCACTGGCACATATCAGACAGCCCCCATACCTGCCTACCAGATGGGTCCCTGCACGAATAGAGAGGTCTAAGTAAGTAGCGTCGTGTACATTGCTAAGTGGAAAGTGTTTACATAGTAGTCAATTACCAACGTAGTCAATTACTAACAATGTTATAATGATATGAGTAGTCAACTAGCAACGAGTCCTATTTTTGTAGTCACTAACTTACCATCAATAATCACCACCGGTCTTAAATATGGGAGTCCAGCTATTGAAGCAGCAAACGATATGAATAGGTACTTGAATCTTTGACAACCATTTTTGTCCACACCGAACTCTGTTTTGCAAACTGTCCCAGGGTTAGAGTTTTGCAGATTCTCCAAGTAAGAAGGGAGCAATGCGAAACTTCCAGAGACTGAACCAAATGCTTTCTCCAATGCAAGTTCCCTGCACCTCCACGCCTTCCAATATGAAATGTTGACCTACATTTCATAAGTAGACACAACACCAAAAATATCTGTTACGTCATTCAAGGAGTCAACTAGTTATAGTCAGATACCGATTCGTGTGCTCTTGAAGAACAAGGTGACGAAATAATTCACTTGGAACTCCTGAAGCATGATTCGCTGGATTTCGATTGGGCCAGGACCTCTTTGTCCTGCGATAAATCTTGTCTGGATGAGCTCACCAATCACTTGTGTTGTCGCTTGTTTGTGATATTTCTGACGGTCTTCAATTGGGCATGTGTGCTTCAGTTTGGCCTTCTTAATTTGGAAGTTCCCACTCGCACCCATGAGGGAAGCGTATACCCGCCATGGACATGTCTCATTGATGCAAAGAAACTCCATGTAGTTGGGTGTTGACCGTGGGGTCCTGAAGTGAAATTTTCTGTTTATGGCGTGAATAGCCAACTTAATTTTACACTCCACCTTGTTTCTGAAGATTCTGCCAACAAAAATACCATCCCCTTTGTATCGCATTTCTCTCAATGCACCGTCTATCCCTGAAAATCGATTTAATTGAAGGTAGTTACATATATATATATATATATATATATATATATACTTACCATCAATGGTAAACAGCTATGAAGGTAGTTACATATATATATATACATACCATCATCAGAAACCTCATCCACAACCGGCAGAGCATCCCTTCCAAACATTGCTGGTACCTCATCTGTCTCAGAGAAAACACCATTAATAGTTTCGTCTGCGCAACTGTACCTGCTTGAATTGCGGCTACACTCTCCCTTTTCATAGGCTCCACTATCCGGCACATAACCAGGTCCACAATCCGGCACTTTAGCCTTTCCTTTGGTACGAGCTATTTCAGCGTCACTGTTATCCTCGAGGGGTACCTCCTCACCAGCATCATCCACATTCTCTTGGTTACCCTCTCCGACGAAATCTTCACCCTTCTCAAAGTCCGGCTCCTCTCTGGCCAAAGAGATGACAGCTAACTCGTCCAGCCTCTCACACTCTTCTTCATTAGACGGGACTGCACCAATAGACAACTACCATGAGAAGGTTAACAATAAATAACTACGACTACCCAATGGTGTTTTTGTGAATATAAACTCACTTTCTGAATATATGGGTAAATAGTTAACTATGTCATAGAAGGATACCATCGATATTATAGTTAACTACATATCGTATTAAACATATTTATGTATAATATGTAGTGGACTATGCCATAGTCAGCTATTTGTAGACGTCTTACCATCCTGAAGTGAAATTTTCTGTTTATGGCGTGAATATATGGGTAAATAGTTAACTATGTCACACAAGGATACCATCGATATTATAGTTAACTACATACCGTATTAGACATATTTATGTATAACATGTAGTGGACTATGCGATAGTCAGCTATTTGTAGACGTCTTACCGTCACCGCCCGCGTCGTCATCCTCCGTCGTGCCGTGGACAACCAAAGCTCTTTCCTTTTTTTCCAGGTACACTCACAATCTCGTCTGTGGTGACGCACAGGTTCAGCTGGTCGATTTCCGACCTCATTTCCACAAAAAGAGACACTTCGTCATCTGACGACATCAGCACCGGTGGCGCGTCGCGGCCGTCGTCCATCAGCATGTATGAGGGCCACTGGAAAGTAAGTGTTATGCCGACATCTTCCTTGATACCCATTTTCTTCTTAACGAGCTTTACCACCTCACAAAATATCATCCGCGCGCTTAGGAACACCGCTTTAGTATTCCCAGTGCGGTCCGTAAGGAAAGTCCACACTCCGTTGCTCTGTTTGAACTATTTCCCTTTCACCAACAACACCATCTGCCTTCCTGCCATCTACACAAACAAGGGTGAAGAGGTTAATAAATAGCCAACTACAAAATGGTTCGTAGTCGGATTTTTTCCACAGAAGTAGACATACCTTGGTAAACCAAGAAGTAGACAAGCCCTAAGACAATTGTTTACTAGAGGCGGTTTATGGGACTTTCTTGTTGGCTATTTATTTGAGATCCCAAGGGTCCCCTCCACTTAACCGATCCGTACAATTAACTATACGACAAACAACATAAGGGATGGGCAAAAAGTTACTAAAGTTAACGTTGGTAGTGTCGCCAAAACCAGGTAGCGTCCGCGCTTAACTATCATCATGTGGTCCCTATCTGACACAGAAAAAGCAATGTCTTCTTTACGGGAGCAAGGGGCATAGTGTCTTTTCCATCCCTACTTTTTGGTTGACTTCTGCTACACACTGAATTGACTCCTTTTCGATGCCATTCGCCTAATTTGCTCCTCCAAACATAATATTGATGCAAATCACCCTTCAATAATCTCATCAGATGAGGAAGCAGGCATAGTCACAGAAGAACCCAAAGGAGATGAAGTCATTGGAGATGCAGAAGACTGATCAGGCGACAATGATGAAGTCGTTGGTGAAGACGAAACAACGCGCAAAGAGTCAAAAGCAGCAGTTGACGAGGATATCTTCAATTTGCAAATTGGAACGAACTGGAGAATCTGAGTCACTGAGTCAGTCTGAATATCCGGATTTGGTTCAATAATGGAAACCGGTTC